CAACACACACACACACACACACACACACACACACACACACACACACACACACACACTCTTACATTCAGGCCCTCAGGGTTTCTTAGCATTCCTGATTTTCCATAAACTTAGCTGTTTTGGGGTATGTACAATGGGAAATATTGTATAGAACATTTCTCAGTTTGGGTTTATATGATGTTTTCTCATGAGCTGACCTGGGTTATACATTTTTTGAAGGGAATATTGGCCGCTGCTGGCTGTGTGTTGGTGTGTGAGCCGGTGAACTGGCTGGCAGGTTTTCTGTTGTTGTTGTTGTTGTTATCTGATTGTCTTTCAATAGATTTCTCAAGGATTTTTAATATGCTAACATCTTCACTAATTACTGGCTTTTTGTTTGTTTGTTTGTTTGAAACTTTTATTAACAATTGTATCTCTGTGGTGAGACAAAATAACTCTGATCCCAGGCTTGAGAAAAAGGACAGTCCTGTCTTTGCCATCGAGTACAGATGTCCACTGTGGACATTTTGGCAGAGCCTCTTTATTGGAGGTTATAAAGATCCTAGCTTAAAAAAAATTATACCATTCATGAATTTAATTTTATGGCTTTTCTGTATTTGTTGCGATTTGATGATTTCCTATCTACTAAAGATGTGAATCACAGCAGTTTCTGAGGTTAAAATGTGTTTACATTCCTAAGCCCTACTTAACCGTGCCTATGAGGGTCTGGTTTATACACACGTGCAGCTGGATATCATTTTTGCGTCTCAGTTCACACTTTTTTTATTATTATTATACTGTCCTTGTCTAGCTTTGGTATCAAAGTTATACAAGCCTTATAAAATACTTCAGATTACAGTTTATAATCTCTTTTCCAATGAGATTATGTTTCTTATTGATACAGTTCTTGGGTTTTTTTTTCTTCTTCACGTCTTTGTTTTTTCTAAAAGTGGCTTTTAATTCCTCCGACTGCATTCTTTCTTCGTCATTTAATTTGCTCTTGATTTCTTTCCTAGTTATTTGAGCCCCCTTTACTAGCTTCTTGAGTTGCATATTTATCTCATTTATTTTTATTCTCTCTTAATTTTTAACATATGCATCGAAGGCTATAAATTCTCCTCCAAGTGCCACTTGAACCGGATTCCACATACCTCATCGTGGTTCAGATCTGCACTTTGTTTCCATTAGTGGCGTAAAGGAATGCGTTTACGATTCTGAATTCTACGTAAAAAAGAAATGTCTCTTGAATGTAGATGTTTGAAAAGCCACTGCATTGCAGTCAGATAGAACTAGTCAGTGCGATTTGTCATTTCTTTCGGCTCCCTTTAGTTTAAGGTATGGTTGATTTGAACTGTTGAGGTGTTAGGCAAGAAACAGTAATTCTCTAATTGCTAGGCATTAATTTCTATTTATGTTCACAAGACCGAGCTTCTTAACTGTGTTTACATTGCCACTAATTTTTGTTCTTTTCTGTCTGCGTTATCTAGCCATTCTAAATAGCTCCAATTATAAACCAATACACCAATGCTTTTATCCATCACTTCTTGTAGTTTTTTTGCTTTAAGTATTTCAAAGTCACATTGTTAAGTGTGAACAAGTCCAGAGTCCTTCTCTTAAGTGACACAAGGAAGCGGGTCTGTTTACACTTGCAATCACTGGCGTAATTTTTCAATACGCCTTTTCTTTTCCATTTTCTCCTTTCCAGCTTTTTTGTTGAGTTGGTTGAATTTTCCTTACCAGCCTTTATTTCCTTTGTTTATTTATTCCATTCTTCCATTCAATTTCTGTTAATTCTTTAAATTCTTAATTTATACACAAACATTTAAAAAAAAATACTCAGTGTACGGAAGCAAAGATTCTGGCACACCTTAGCAACGCATTGGATTTCTCCTTTTTACCTTAACTGGTGTTAAACCTTTTTGTTTGTTCGTTCGGTCCATTAGGTTTGGCTTTTCGCTTTGTTTTGAGACAGGGTCTCACTGTGTAGCCTTGGCCGTACTGGAACTCACCTATATAGACCAGGCTGGCCTTGAACTCACATCAATCTGCCCCTCTCTACCTCCTGAGCACTGGGATTAAAAGCATGCACCACGGCACCCAGTTAGTTATATCCTTTAACCCCCAGCCACTCCCAAATCCATTTTATAGTGGAAAAGATTAGTCATATCGACTGACGTATTGCCAGGCCATTCCTTCTCAAGTCTCCCTCCTTCCTTCCAGGTTCATTTCCCCAATCACTGCAGCACCTTTAACAGGCATTTTTGACTAACAGCATAGCCAGGTAAGGGGTTTAAAGATGCTGCTTCTATGTTTTCTCTCTGGCCTGACAATATTATTGCTTTGTCATCTAATACCGAAGACGAGACCTTCCCGTCAGGCACAATGTCTCTAAGGATGCAGGTTCTCCTCCGCAGCCTTTAGAACAGGAATACGCTTGGAATATCAGTGATCAGTTGGGGTGGGGGGTAGGGGTCTTTCTTCTACTCTGCAGAATTCTTAGCCAATATGTACTTAACTAAACAGCCCTTTACTGCCATTTTGTTGCCTTTTAAAATTCTGGGTTTCTAGATTTAGGGTTTTTTTGTTGTTGTTGTTTTGTTTTGTTTTTTAATTTGTGTGGGTATCTGGCCTGCATGTAAGTATTTGCATCATACAAGGAAGCCAGAAAAGGACGTTCTATTCTCCCTCAGACTGGAGTTACAGATGATTGTGAGCCTTCATGTGAGTGCTGGGATCTGAACCTGTGTTCTCTGCATGAGCAACAAGAACCCTTCACCTCTGGGCCATCTTTCTGGCCCCTATTTTCAACATTCTTGAAAAAATACAGTATCCATAAAATGTTCATCTATGAGATATATAAAACGTTCTAGTCGGAAACTTTAAAACTGAAAAAAAAAGTATCCATTGTCATTAAATATCTCTATCATTAGCATATCTTAAATATTATTATAAAATGTCTCTATCGCTCCAAATTTACGATAGAATAGACTTTAGCTCTGAGTATGAATCCACAAATTCATGGGATCACGTCAGCCAACCCGATTTCCATTTGGGCTGGGGAGACGGCTCAGCTGGTAGGGCTGCAAATGTGAGGACTTGAGTTTGATTCCCCAGCAGCAACATAATAAAAAAGCTGGTCACAGGACCCATGTAGAATCCCAGTGCTAGGGAGACAGACAGAACAGTCCCTTGGGCTTTGCTGCCAGCAAGTGTAGCCTATTTGGTGAGCTTCCGTGAGAGGCCTTGTCTCAAAATATAAACCGGAGAGTGATCAAGGGAGACAACAGACAATGACCCCCTAATCTCCACCTGCACACACACACACACACATACACACACGTACCCGCGAACGTGTGTGCATGCAAACACACACATGCACACAGTGTTGTCTTCATTGCTTACAGCAGTTGTTGCTTCTGAGTGTACAGTGACATTTGCCTGAGGCAGGACCTGTGACATCGTAACAGTCAGAAGGCTCCAGCAGATGAGAATCCAGCTGTCTGCCATCAAGTCTGGCACTGAAGAGATTTGCAGAGATGTAGAGTGATGCTACCAGGTAAGCTTTTGTTCCAAAGAGCCTTTTTCAATTCAAGTGTTAACTTGTGATGGGTTTGTTACTATTATTTTAAATTAGTAGGTGTGCATTCAACATGGTTCGATGTCTTGTCTGTTAAGGTAGGTAAGCACTGGTAGGTAACAATTGCTTATATTTTATGCCATGTGATGGTATGTTTTGATATATACATGCAAACTTCCATATTGTTTTCTACAATGGTTATATTTATTTACATTTCTCTAACTTCTCTTCTCTCCACATCCATGTCCATTCATTGGTTTCATAACAGCCATTCTAGAAGGTATGAGGTAATATCTATCTCCTCATGGCTTTAGCTTGCCTTTCTGCCATGATTATTAACACTGAGCATGCTTTCACGTACCTGATGGCGTCTTCAGATAAATGTCTGTTAGAGTTCTTCGTCACTGTCATTTTTAAAGATTCCTGGGAGAGGGAAAGGAATGGACGATTATTGAACTATGAAGAGAAACGGAAATCACAGAATTTTCAGTTAAATGGATGGATTTGGAAAATACGAAGCTAGTGACTAAAACTCAGGGAATAACAAAACACCTTGGTTTCCATATGCAGATCCCAGCCTATAGTGTATACGTGTGTGTGTGTGTGTGTGTGTGTGTGTGTGTATAACATACATTAATGTTGTATATATATACACATACACACATATACAGATAGACGTGTGATTATACTATGATAAGCAAGGAGACCACGAATGGGTTATAGCAAGTGATGAGGAAGGGCAAAAGGCAGGTAAAGGACATTTGATTCATGAAGAAGGCTCTAAAGATAATGTTTTTCTAGTTTTTAATCTGTCATAGTTGTGTGTGTGTGTGTGTGTGTGTGTGTGTGTGGTGTGTGTGCACGCGTGCAGTACATAAATATGTGAGTGACAGTGACGATGTCAAAAAGTAGAGCCCCAGGGCTTCACTGTGGTCTTCCTAACTGTGTGGACGCTCACTGGGATGGGTAGAGTCCGGGACTTGGCTCACGATTGAGTGTCTCCCTTAAACATGCTGCGTGATGTCTTTGTCACTGAGTTAATTACAATAAAGTGATTTGATTTGATTTAAAAAAAAATGTTTTTGTTATTGCTATTGACTTCCTGATGTGTTTAGGACACTAACTCCTTATCAGGTATATGGCTTACATATATTTTCTCTTATTTTATATGTGCTCTTTGCACTATACATTTCTCTATTGTGTGGAAGCTCCAAATTGGTTTGCTAACCACCACCCCCACCCCCCACCCCGTTTTTTTTTGTTGTTGTTATTGTTTGTGAGTTAGGTATCAAACATTTCTTTTTAATTGCCCAAAAGACAAGTCTTATTTGGAATTTAAATCTTTAGTCCATTTTTAGTTAATTTTTGCCTGTAATTTTTTGTGCTTTTAAAATTTTTTTCATTAAAATTTCAATGACTGTGTTGAGTCTTTAGGCCACATTGCATAGTGCTGATGTTTAAATACTAATTTTCAGGTCTATGAACATGAGAAAATTTCCATTTGTTTCTTTTCTCAGCTTTCTTTCATTAGTGTCTTCTAGTGTTCATTGCATACATCTTTTACCTGCTTTAATTTATTCCTAAATGCCCTTAAAAGATGGTATTGTAAATGGAGCTGTCTTCCTTGTGTGTGTGTGTGTGCGCACACACTCAATTTCAAGAATGCCTTGGTGTGTAAAGGTCAGATGACAGCTTTTGGGAGTTGGTTCTCTCCTTCCACAATGTGGGGGCCATGGGCTTGAACTAGGGCCGTAGATGGGCTTGGCAGCAAGCGCCTTGACCCACGGAGCCATCTTGTTGGCTCGGCTTTCTTGATTTCTTTTGCAGATAGTCCATTGTTGATGTACAAGGTCCTGATTTCACTTTTTGATTTTGTGCCCTACAAGTTTACGGAATTCATCTATTAATTCTGGCAAGCTATTTTTTATGTTATCTTTAGAGTGTTTCTATATGTAGAATCTTGTCAACCACAAACAGATCAACTTACTTTTTTATATTCTAGTTTCTATGCCTTTTATTTTTTCCTGATGTAGTCGTTCTGGGTAGGAACATCAGGATCATATTGACAGGAATGCATTTTTTGCCCTGCCAGGCATGAGTGACACACACCTTTAATCCCAACATATGGGGAGGCAGAGGCAGAAGGATCTCTGTGAGTTCGAGGCCAGCCTGGTCTATATTGTGAGCTCCAGGACAGTCAGAACTACTAGAGAGACCTTGTCTTTAAAAAAAAAAAAAAAGAAATTATCTTGATTCTTAGAGGAAAAACTGTCTGTATTTTGTTTTATCATTACTGCGCCGCTGTGGATTTGCCAAAAGCAGGCTTTGCTGTGCTAAGGTGTGCGCCTTCTACACTTACTGCCTGGGTTTTATTCTGGAAGGATGTTGAACTTGGCTAAATACTCTTTCTCCATCTGCAGAGCTGTGAGTTGATCTCTTTGATTGGCGTAGTGTGCCACAGAGCTGACTTGTGACTGTTAAGCCACCCTGCCCTCCCCTTGGGCATGGTACCTGATCTTTTCATGAGCTAAATTTAATTTGCTGGTGTTTTGTAGAAGATTTTTGCCCCTGCGTTCATTGGGAATAGTGACTTTTATTTTCTTATAGTATCCTGGCCTGGATCTGGTGTCAGCGTAACACTGGCCTTGGGAAATGGGTGGGCAAGCATTCCTTTCTCTGCAGTATCTTTGAATTTCTTTGAGATATGTCAATGTTGCTTCTTCCTCGAAGAGTTGGTTGGATTTACAACTGAAGTCTTCATGTCCTAAGCTTTTCTCCTGGGATGTATTCAATCTCCTTAAAATTATTTAGTTAGATATTCTAGTTCTTTTTTAAGATTCAGTTTAATAATATGTGAGTGTTGAATGCCATGTCCAAGGAGGCCAGGAAAGTGATGGATCCCCTGCAGCTGGAGTTACAAGACAACTGTGAGCTGCCCCCCCATAGTTGCTTGGGTCCTTTAGACAAGCAGCAACCACCGAGCCATCTCTCCAGCACCGACATTTTAACTTCTAAATAAAACTACATAAATTAAAAAAAAACTAAATAAAAATTCTCAAATTCAAGAATAAATCTAGGAGCTGAGAGATGGCTCAGCAGTTAAAAGCACTTGCTGCTCTTGCAGAGGACCTGGGTTCAATCCTGAACACCCACATGATGGCTCACAACCATGCCCCTCGGGTTCCAAGGGATCCAATGACCTCTTCCGGACTCTTTGGGCACCAGGCATGCATGTGGTGTACATATATACGTGCAGGTAAAACACTCATACATATTAAAGAAATTAAATTAAAAAAATCTCATCTACCAAAAATAGCTTAACAATGTGAATACTGTGAGATATCTGTTTGTAGCTGGTGGTGTTGCTTAGTGAGGAGAGTAGTGGTCTAGCCTGCACAAAGCCCTGGGTCTGACCCCTAGCACTACACAAAGCTGTATGTGATGAAGCATGCTCATAATGCCAGCAACTGGGAGAAGATTCAGAAATTCATGGTCATCCTTAGCTACATAGTGAGTTTGAATCCAGCTTGGGCTACACGAGACCCTGTCTCAAAGGGCAAAAAAAATTAAATTAAAATTAAAAAAGAAGATATCTGTTATTTAGCCTCATGCTCATGTGGTTGATTGGGAGTGATGGCTTCCTGCCCAGATTCCCTAGAGAGCATCATAGTACATATTGCTCCCCTGGGAAAAAGATCAAAATCCAAAATACAACTTCCAATGAATGCAAATTACACTCCCTCGATCCTAGAGTCAGAAACAAAATGTAAGTCAAGCCATCGTGAGTCAGGAACCATTGATATCAGTAGGCAGAGTCCACATAAGGAGAAGTGGATGCGGCTGGCCCCCAGTTAATATTTGGGTGCCTACTACCGATAAGTGCAAAAGCCAGGCCATGGGCATGGCTCCTTGTGAATGGAATTAAAAGGGTTCCCACGTGAATTCATTTATTTAATTAACTGTGTCTTTAGAGTTTTAGTCTTGAGCTTGGAAGACACATCCAGTAGGTAAAGCTGACAAATGAACCTGTAAAGATGCTAAAGGCTTAGAAGAAGGAGGAGGAGGAGGGAGAAGGAGAAGAAAACGCAAGTGAGGGATGGTATGCTGCTGTGGCGGACACAGAGTAGCCAGAAAAAAGCTCCTCGAGGAAGGGAAGCTAAGACTAAATTTTAAGAAGAGCCAGGTGTGGGAAGAGCAAGAACATTCCAGATGGATAAAATTACGCTGTACAAAACCATAAATGCTAGGAAAATAAAGAAGGAAGGAAGGAAAGGAAAGCAGGCAGGCAGACAAACCACCAGAATGTCTGAAGGACAATGTGGGGCATAAAACAGGACCGGTGAGACTGTATGGGGACAGCAGAGTGAACAACACAAAGACTTTGCCTTTAATTCCAAATACAAAGGGCTGGGGGAGATGACTCGGTGGTTCAAGCATTTGCTGCTTAAGCATGGAAACCAGAGTTCGGATCCTCGGGACTAAGATAAATGCTGGGTGTGTATGGCCGCATACCTGTAATTCCAGCCCCCGGGGTGGTGGTGGTGGGGAAACAGGGACAGGGGTCATTGAAGCAAGCCTGGGGAAAAACAGGGACAGGGGTCACTGAAGCAAGCTGACTAACAAGACTAGCCGTGTCAGAGAACTCTGGGTTTGCTTGAAAGGCCCTGCCTTAATAAAGAACATGGAAGAGTGATGGAGGATGAATATAGATATCAGCCGAGGGCCTCCGCATGTGTACATGCAAACACACACACACATGCACACACACTGGCACATGTACTCCCCACACATACACACACACACACACACACACACACACACACACACGCATGCACACACACATGAATATGGAAAAATAAAAATGTAAAGAAAAAAAGAGCAAGAGCTATGAAAAATGTAATTCTAAAATCCTAAATATGGTAAGGGGTGTCTGAATACTTTTAAATAAGGCCTGACACCATCCATTGTAAGATGATTCT